CCCCAAAACCCCAAAACCCCAAAACCCCAAAACCCCTTTAAAAGACTTCAAAATTGAAATTTATTAAAAAAATTAGTCATGGAAACAACAAGTGAAAGCCAGTCTGGAACCTCCAAAGAGTTCCTTGTAAGTTTCCTGAATTTTCTGTGATGCATTTACAGCATGCTGATATTTATAGTCATTGAATAGCAAAGAGAATAAAGAAATTGACCAAGAGATGAACAAATTGCACAGTAAGTTTCTTCTCAATTAATATGATGAAAATACTGTCTATGAGGATATTTGGTAGATAAAAGAGACAGGCTGTCAACTATAGTACACCTCTCTCTCCCTTTATAATGCTTAACAAGGTTCTGTATATTCCTATAAAACCTCTTTTCATTTTTAGCCATGTAATTCTTTGAAAATACTGAGGTTAATCTGCAATCTAGGAACTCATATATCAAAAATGGAAGAAATCGCCAAATTTTATGAGGGAATTGAGAAGCCTAAATAAGTCGCATCTCACCAAATTTGATATCGCACAGTATATAGATTTAGAACATCCAGCCGAGATAAAGCTGGTTTATTACATATTTTCTCAATATTACATCAAGTTCGCCAGGTTTAGTCTCACCGAAGAAGAGATTAAGGTATTTTTATCAGTAATCTGTAGAAATTTATCCACAAATTAATCAAGAATGGGCTTTATTCTTATACAAACATGAGAAAAGCTCTGTTTTTGCTCAAAAGCATCTACTTCTACACTGGGAAGAAGCTCAAAAGTACCCAAGATTACTTGGTATCAGCTGTAATAGAGGAGATTAAACCTAGATCATGAGAAGAACTTAGAGGATTGCTGATATTTATTACAGCATTAACATTAGAGATGAACTTTAGAGAGCATTCTGAACATTTGACTCAATTCAAAGAGGCAGTTAAGACCATTAAAGAGTACCCTTCTTACATTATTAACTACTACCAAGGACAGTGCATTAATTCAATAGCAAGAGCAATTTCAGGGGGATCAACAGCATCTCTTGCTGTTAACCCAATGATCACTTTTTCTATGATTGAGAATCTTGCCACAACAGGAAGCGAAGATGAATTTCATGATAGATACTACCGATTCTTGGCTAATGAGAAGCACTTGGAATATGAATCTGACTTCAATTGAGAGCCTCTTTTTTTATTAACCAACTCTTCAAGATCATCAGGTAGCCTAATGGATTTCAAAGGTTCTTACAACTATGAATTTTATCAGGACTTCTTAAAATTAGAGAAATGGATAGAGAAGGCTAATGTTTTGGACAAGATTACCTTCTCTTTGATTTCAGAAGACAACATTGAAGTAAAAGATTTAGAGTACATTTGCAAGATCCTGAGTCTCTGTTTACATACTTCTAACTTAAAACTGCTGTACAAGACTCTTAAGCTAGTTTTATCCTTCATGATTAAATTTGAGGCTGAATTTAAGCCATTTTTATTTCAAATGTGTGAGCAAATATCCAAAGCTATGATATATGTAAATCCCCAAATTCAAAAGCTGGTAGAACAGGTATTATTCATAATGGGAGAGAAAGTGTTCAACCAGCCAGAGTACATATGATTTTTGATTCTAGCAATTCAGAGGACTAATAACTCCAGAGTATTGACCTCTCTGGGACATAAAATCATTCATAATTCCATAAATCATCCCTTGAAGATCAGTTATTATAGTGAAATTCTTGGCTTCTTTACGGTTCTGAAGAAATTTATCAATACAAAAGACTACAAAGTGAAAGAAACGGGAGCTATGATTATCATACAGCTTATCCAGGGTGATAATGATGCAGAGGACAGAGAGTGTGAAGAAGAGGAAGAGCTACAGCTCGAAGATATTCCTGAAGCAAAAGAGATTTATAATTATTACATGGATTTTTCAAATACTGCTAAGCTAGATGTTTATGATGAGAAGTAAGGAAGACAAGATTTTTAGAGTTTCAAAGGAAATAGTTTTAAGAAAAATTTTAGTCCTCATCTTTTCCCTAAAAATTGCAGAACTTAAATATCCTTGCAAATAAAATAATTCAACTAATAGCTATTAGAACTCTAAAATCTAAATTTAAAAACTTTCTGAGGAAATAAAAATCTCTAAAACCGCTACTAGCCGAGACTCTTCCTCTACAAAACAAATTCAAAGAGGCCAATTCAGGCTCTCTCATAACTTATCTCTAATTTCCTCCTAGACTGAATAAGATAATAGAGTCACTTCCAGATGAAGAAGAGAAACTTGGAGAACTCTCAAGAAAAACAGTCAACATAGAGGAAGAATTTGGTAAGTATTGCTCCCTTAACCATCCCAGAAGTAGTTGAGGAGGATCAGCCAGTCCAAGACCCAACTGAGGATGAAGAAAAGAATTCTTCCGAAGATGAGGAGTATGACCTTTGTGATGAATTCTGCTAAATCCTTTAAAATGCTCATTAAAGATTCCTTCAAGGCCTTCTTTTCATGTGGGGTTTTGGGGTTTTGGGGTTTTGGGGTTTTGGGGTTTTGGGG